AGTTTCTTAAACTCAACGAAACATCAAGTTAATAGCCATGCAGGCTTAAGAAGAGAAGAAAATTATTCGTTATGTTATATTTTCGGGATTCTGACTGACATGAATCCGGTCAATGACATGGATCCGCATGTCGTGTACGGCTTGAGGTAATGTTCTTATAATGACGAGGACGGGCAATGACTGTGCGGACATGAAGTAATATACAGCCCCATACAAGTGGCTATGTTGAAATAATTTTGATGTTTTTCTGTAATGTTGCAAAAGGTTTGCATGTTTTAAATAGTAAATTTAACCTTTAAATTAAACATTGAAAATTTAAACCTACAAATTGAGACACGTCTCCATAAATTGAAGCTCAATTTATCTGATTAACAAAGTACTGTAGTTATTAACCTTTTACAGTAGAGGGCTAGTGATGTACAGTAGCAAGTGTTGTTAACAACATTCACCTGACAAGATTCATTGTAACTTGGTGTGAATTGGTGCGACAATCTTTCTGCAGCAAACTAACTACGGGAACTTATTGAAATACAGCATGTTCAACAGGTGTTACGGGGCAACGCAAGTCAACATTAGCCAATCAATTGAGTTATTTACATAGTCATTATTTGCATTTCATACATGTTTTGCATAAAATTTCCACTCTTGTTCATTATGTTTTGTTTATTGTACAGCATGTAAGACTACATTTGTTCCACTTTCAATTTTGTCAACAAATTTTCAAGTACATAAGCAAAATGAATGTTCTGTATCATGCTATGATCTATGGCCCTACGGCATGTCGTGAAACCTCGGCATTTCTGATTTGTGCCCAACTGGCGTGATCTGTGGTGAACGATAAGAGATTACTCTCATTCACCATTACTTATAGTACGTTACTCAGTTCCTTCGGTTAAAATAGGGTATTAAAATTAGGATAGTAGGTGGAAACCAAACCCCTGACAGTTTGTACTCTTGAAAGGAATGAAAGTCCTCTTCAATTATAGAAAGTAATAAAGAATTTGTGCTCGGGGTTCACTGTTGGGTCATCAAATACAACACTTCTTAAAGAGATGTGTAAAAACAAGGCACTATTATATGTATTTCCAGTAATACATTCCAAAAAGGAAAAAAAACCAATTAAATAAGAATTATAAAAATAAATTTTAATCACAATGAACAAGAAAATGTAAGGTATATATGTTATGATGACTAACAGTGTGAAAAAAAAAACCTATTTGATGAAATAAAATCAAAAGAATCAATAAGATTACTACAGGGCTGCAGTATTCTCATTTTAAAATTACAAGTTACTTACATTCAAAAGGGTTTAGTTACGATTCAAAATGCTAGCTAGCTGACAAGTCTCAACAGTGATTTTGAGATTAATTAATTACAGTTAACCAATAAAGTTTTTGTAGAGTTAATAACAAAATATTCTACCAAAAAGGAAATGGCCTTAATATTAAGGCTTTCCACATATTTTCAGAGATTAATTAATGGCAATTAATGACATTGATCAAAGTAATCAATACATAACTGAATGATTGATTAATTAATGAATCTTCTAACAGAAAATTATGACTTAATGTTAACTGTTATTTTTTTCAGATCTTTTTTATATAATTTAAGAAAGGTTTGTATATTTTATGAGTTATGATATCCCAAAATTAGATTTTTGTCTAAACATCAGAGAGACTATTATTTGCATTGACATTCTCAAGACATGTAGAAAAATGTGGGGACGATTATAACCAATAGAGTCTGGAATTCCTGCAGGGCACAAAAATGGACCACAAGGAAATACAGTTCAATCGGGTCAGAAATGGACATTGGCCAGGCAGTGCATGGCAAGGCCAACAATGAACAGCATTGCATCATTTTGCAGATCTGTTATTTAAGTAAAATCTGATATTTTTTTTATTATTAAAAGAGAAATTTAGTTTTATAATACTGTAATTTTTATATCATTTTATCATTTTATTATATTTCCCTTTTCAACTGCATATTTTTTTGTTTGTTTTTTTTTATTTTTGCTTTTGTGAATCTTGCATTTTATTCGCTTCTATTTTACTGGACCTTTCTATTTGTTGGTCTTTGAATTGTTTTTTTTATTGAATTTGTAAATATTTGAATTTTAACAATGTAATCTGTTGTTTGTACAGGGGTTGCAGATACATTCGTGTTATGGCGCATTGTTGCTGATGCAACCCCTGGACCGTTTGATGTCAAATAAATAAATGAAATGAAATGAAATATCAACTGTTATTTTCTAAATATAATAATTTTGATATTCTGGTAATGTATTATAAATCCAGTATATTTTAAATAAGTATTTTAAAACTAATAGAAAGCAGTACAGTAGGTCTAGAGTATTTATATGAAAAAACTGTATAAATTTGTAATCAACAATAACAATCACATATAAATATAGATAAGTTCAATACAAAATACATTAATACCAAAACTCAGACGCAAAATTATTTTAGTATTTCTATTTTCTATTAACAACAGTTTAACCTTAAATTACACAAAGCCATTAATATTACTATTTCAAAAACTATTAAAAAAAAAGAATGTTACTATTTAGGGGGAAACTATAATTTGCCATGTCAAATAAATTACACCAATTACAACTTTCCCTTTAGTTTTTGGGGCAGAATTATTTTTAGACTTTGGCCATAATCCATATAGATCATAGCTTTACAACACACAAAAATAAATCTCAACAAAGACACTTCATAAGCACTTAAAGCAAAGACTTGTACCAAACAAGTGTTCAAATGACCATAATGAAAAAGGTTCCATTCTATAAAAATTAATTTTTGACATTTTAATATATATTTTTTTTTTACAGAGAAAGAGCAATTTCAATGGATAACACAAGAGGTATTCAAGAAAATAATTCAAAATTAACTACAAAACAAATGTAAATAATTAATTAATTGATGTAGTGCTAATTTCCCTTATTTATCACTTTGGATTTGACCTTGTTTATGTTTTCATTATGTTTTCTTATTTATTTTTATTTTTGTTGCACACTATAAGAATTAAGCCTCTGTTTAAAAGAGACGAAGTTGTTTTTACTATTAATCTCTTCTGTTACCATACCATAGCCTGCAATTGTCTTTGTTCTTTATTAAAATGTATAACGTCATAAAAGACTAGTTAAAAAGGCCCAATACCAAATTCAACTGCTACAGGTAAAAAAAAAAAATGTGCAACATTTTCTTTAGACAACCTCACTGTTCAAGTTAAAAATTTTACTGCTAAAATTTAATCAGGAAAGGGGGAAGGGGAGGTTTAATTCCTGTAAGTGAATTTACAAGATTATCTTGACTCATACAAAATAAACTTTCTTTTTAACCTGACATTTTCGGAAGCTGAAAGTTGTAGCCTACTGTTTGTATCCAAATCTAGAAAAGATATCGTACATTAAAGAAATCATATGTAAATATTATTATTATAATATATACATATAACTGTATTATTATACTGTCATTAAATATGGTTCTTGTTTTAAAGAATGGTATACATATGTTAATCGGCTTGTTTTGATTTTCAATTAAAAGATCAATATTTCTAGGATCCCGCCAGGGCAGATGTGGATGGTCGACTTTTCGAGACCTAGCATTGTTTGCCATTACACCTTATTTTATCTGCTACAAACGTAACTTATTATTTTTATTATTATTATTAATATTAATTATTATTGTTATTATAACTTACTTTAAATGAAATACTAATATTGAACGCTAATTTTTTATTTTTAGGTCAACGGTGTATTTTTAAACACGCTGATAGAATTTCTGAATGGAATTTAGTGTTAATGACATATAGCACCCACCTATTTGCATGTCATTCTTCCTGATTTACAATCACTATAAGTTATTCTGATGCTTTGCCAAAAGTTGGTCGAAATAATTGCTCTCATTATAAATGCTACATCAGTGTACAGTAGTAGTACTGTATTTAAAGCCAGGGGAAAAAAATTGTTGATACAGGTAAGTTTGTACAACTGATTTTTCTATTAATACCCGATTCACACGTAGAATGAAATGTAACAAAATGTACCAAATTGTTACCGGGATATCTCCCGAGATATTCCTACTGGGATTAGTCGTATTCACACGTACAATTTCCATCCATGTAAAATCCTTGTAAAGAAGTCATTAGAAATGCTTGGTTGAACAACAACCGAACTTGAGGGTGCTATTTGTTTACTTTCTGAACTATGTACTTTGCATTTCGCGGTAAATACGTTCTGTGGAGCGTGTGAGCAAGAGAAGCAAGAATAGCTATTGTTAAAAATCAAAAAGAACGAAGAAAGATCGGCTGAGAATTCCTCCATTCTGAATGTTGCAGTACATATAATAAGCAATTATCCTAGGCCGGCTAGAAATTAGGCTTGGTTTGTTTTGAAATAATTCGTGCCACACAGTTGGCGAGGGCATGTCGAATCGAATAAAATTCCTGGGCATGCGCAGTCATCGTCATGTAACATCTCGGTAATCTTTACAGACCTTGCTGATGTCGGTAAAGATTACCGAGCTATTACACGGATGTTACATTTGTTTTACAAGGATTTGCATTCACACGCTTGGGCAAATGTAAGAATTTGTTACATTTTGGTAGATTTTTGTACGTGTGAATCGGGTATAAGACACGAAAAGTTCGACGAAAAACTTGCGACAGTTAATGAGATACAGATTTTTGAATATTTAAAAACTGAGAAAAAAGGTCAATTTCCCCCAGCTTTTAAATATTCAAAAATACCAATATTTTGGTTTTATTCAAACAACATTACCAAAATTTGACATAGCAGCATCAAGATGAATTGTGTCAATTGCACAGTAAAACTATGATACTATAAAGAGAAAAAAAATCTGTACTAACTACATAAAATTTATGAAAATTAAAATATCATAAACTTAAAAATAGAAAAAGATGGATTATGAAAGTCAACAAGGAAATTAGCATTAGGCCACTGGGACTGACAGCGGCCACAGTGCAGCACCTACTACAGCCAGTACACAATTCCATTCCAGACAGTAAGTAAATCCTTGCTGAGCCACAGGGCTCATGTAGGCTAGAGTTTATCCCCAGTTTCAAGTAGCATGAAGCAGACGAGAGTGTGATGTTTCCTCAGGTTATCGCCCAGCAATTTGCTAGCACCCATTGATATAGTTAGGTAGACTGAAGCAACGTAGATAAAGTGCCTTGCTTAAGGACACAAGCGCGATTAATGCACAGCAAAGGATTGAAAAGCCGACCTCTCAACTGCACCAAACCGCTTCCACACATACTTTAGAGTAGAGTTCTTTTTCATAGGCGTATACTGTAAGTTCATTCACATTGGATCAATGGATTAAAGTTTTATCCGGAGGACAATGTAATTAGATCAATGTGTCTTATGCAAGAAACCCGCACCACTGTGCAAGCCCATTTTGCTACCTAGGTACAGTATTTACCTTGCTATTTCAGAACCAGACATTTCTAAGTCATTCATATCAAACACATTGCTAGGTAAAATAAATGCCTGTACCTGTAATTCCTTATTAAATATAACAATGATTTAATAGTTTACAAATTGTTGCATACATTCATTTTATAAACACTTATTGTAATTTTATCTGTTGATATATTCTTCAAAGTTTTTCCAAGGCACCTCATAATTATTTTAGATGGTATATATTTCAAAGAATTAAGTAGATACATTATACAAAAGTCAAATATCACATTGACATCAAACTGAAATATGTTAGGCTTGCAAGTTGCAACTTGAGGTGAAATCAGTAAGTCAATATCTTAGCCTGAAGCTGCCCAGGTACACTGTACTTTCCAACACCATCCCAAAAGGCTGCTAAGCATCAAAATGGAAACTATAGCACCTGACCTAGGACCTAAACCTTGGCCCCTGTTCAAATTTCCCCAGGCCATGCAACCTAAATCTGACCCTTGAAAAACCAACTGGAATATGAGAACCATGTGACAAAATAAACTGTTGCATTATCATCAAACACCCAGCAAACATATGTGTAGGTTTTTTTGGTTTAGAAGTTTCCTCCAAAGTATAGATGTGGTGATGTTTACAGTATAAAGCAAATAAATTTAGTAAAATAAATTAGTTTGGAAACACAAATCTACCATGGAATTTTTCCCAATCTGTTCACTTTTTTTTTTTAGCATAGAGACCCTAGTATTTTATGTAGTACAAATGTATAACCTCTAACCACAAGCAATTTGAGGAAAAAAACCTATAAACCAACACAATACATAATTACAGGTGACAATTACTGTACCATAATTATATATTTATAGTTGCTTTTATTATCATTACTATTTTGGTATTAAAATGAAACACAGACGCAAATGCTGTATACACAAAAAAGAAGACAAACCACAGACGTGTGATTGGACTGTAGAATCAATTCTGTGCATGCTCGTTTCCTGACTATATTTTTTTACTGTATCAAAGCATTTAAAAATTAATTTCAAACATGATGTTATCAGTTCCATTATGGAAATTCTCTGAAAATTAAAGACAAATTGATAATTTCAACATCAATTTTGTAGTTAAATGAAAGTCAATGTTTCAGTTATCAGAGACGAAATCTAGTTGAATTACAGGGTAATGGCAGCGAGCCAAAGAAAGGGACCCTGGGTTATCGCAACTAATCTGAACCCAGGTAAATACATCTCCAACAGTGTTCGTTGCCCTGAGGCGCTCGTGTCTGTCTCCATGTTGAGAGCCTGGGGGTATAATCACAGCGAGTTAGGCAAAAATGAACAGAGGGGGGAAAGGGCATTTAAAATAACTGTCCCAAAATCTTGCAATGGAAAAACAAGGTAGAAATCACGTACGAGCATTTCAACTTAACTGCCGTTCTATCAATTAACACTAACTAAACCCAGGTACACAGTTGTCAGGACAATTCTGAATTAGACATCTCATAGCAGTGCACGCAGCCTGACCTAGTCCCGGCTTGGACGCCAGCCAATCTCAGCACTTATAATAGTCTGCCTCACTTTCTTTCTCATGTTTAAGGACAACTGTCACCTGGACGCTTAGGAATGAAAGGTAAGCTGGAAGAACCAAAGGCAGTCTGAAGCCTGAAGATGATCTAAGCTGTATTTACTAGAGAATAGTACAATGACCTTAACTTTGACCTAATGGCCTTTTCAGGTGGTATTTAGTATTTTGATTCCTGAGAAATTGTGATAGCTTATGCAGGTGATTAAGGTCAAGGAAAGGCTTTTAGCCTTCAGGATATTTGACAGGAAGAATATAAAGGCTTCTTTTACTCCCATCATCCTTAGAGTATCACGTTTGGCGGCAGAAAAACAAAACCCTGAACAGTGGGGGAACTGACGTTAGCTTGAATATCTCAGAGGGACGGCCGCCATGTTCGGTAACTTGGCTTCTTCAGACATGTCCAATGTTGAATTTTTTTTTAGAAGACCTCACGTTCTCTCATTAAAAATAACTTCTTGATTGACTGGGTTTCCTATGCTTAACTCTTGCGGGAGGATTAACACTGAATAGTTTTGAGTTCTATGTGGTCAGAGGCTAGAAAAACGATATGCGCTTTTAAAAATATTTACTATACTTATGAAAGAAATCTAGGTTTACACTACCTACTAATTCAATATCAAACGCAATTGGATTATTATTCTAATGCGAAGTACACTGACACAAATCAACATATACCATAAGTAAATACAAGTATATTTGATTTGATTTAATTTATTTATTATCTCCACCAAGTACAAACACACATACAGAAATAACACAATCATTTGAATAAAAACAACCGTTATAATATACTAGGGATTACCCTCCAAGGTAAAAATAATAAATTAAAAATCAATAAATTAAAAATAATTAAAAAATAATTATAAATTAATATTAATAAATTAATAATAATAAATTAAATATAATTTAATAAAATAATAAATTAAAAATAATAAATTAATAAAATAATAATAATAATAAATTTAAAATAATAACATTTTTAATAATAAATTAAAAATAATAAATTAATATAATAATAATAATAAATTTTAAAAAAAACATTATTATTATTAGACTTTTTGGAATATAAAATTATAAAATCTAGCTGTAAAAGGCTAAAATAAGACAAACTAAATAATTATCATCCAATTGTCACTAGATCAATAAATTACCACAAAAGGCAACATTTCTTGGGTCTGGGGATATTCCTAGTCATGCTATAATAACAAAATAAGCACAACATTTATGTCACAAAATTCTACCAACCAGATGCGAAAGCAAAATTGATATTAAGGATTCGAACCCCAACCTCAAGCCTGAACTGCAACGGCTGGATTTACCACAAATTTTTTCTTAGATATTATAATTAAGAGATGCCGCCATGTACGTCAGACAATATACCAATAGGTAAAATACTTAAAATACCAGTCACACATTTTCTAACAATTTCATTAATTAATTTATTTTTCATTAACAAATTTGTTTCATTGTGATTCTAAAGCTTTGTTTTGTTTTTATAATCATATTTCCATTTTTATTGGCTATTTTTGTCTTCAGAAATGTTAACCTTTAATATTAACATTCTTATATTCAATGCCTTGACATTTCATTCGTGTTAATGTATTTAGAGTAAATAAACTGCCTACTAGTTCATTTCCATATCAGTAACCCCAAGTTAATCTACCTTTAAAGATGCATTTTGGAAATCTACCAATAAAATAATTAAATAATTTATAGTGGCTTACATTAATACCTTCATCAACAATGCAATGTACGTCAGACAGATTAAACTGTCATACAGAAAAGACCTGACTCATGAACACATCGCAGAAAGCTTTCTAGCAAGTTCTTAATCTAAAATTCTCTTAACCTAAAGATGCCTTCATTGCAAGACTAAAAAATCTTTACGTGCGATGCATGATACATAATGCAAAAACAAATCCTACGTTAAATTTTAAACTAAAATGGATGTATACCTTAGCACCTATTGTGGACAGACAAGAGTAGCTGGTATCGGTTTACCGTTTACCTCAGACACGAAGACATGTTACTGTAAAAGCTAGTTCACACAGCGAACACTTTGAAACCGTTTCTGGCAAAATAAGTTAATATTAACTTGAGCATAATTGGTATGCTTCAAAATTTCCAGTGGGAGGCGGGGAAATTGGGGTCACAAGCTTTAATTTGGGGGCGCCAGCTTTTGTATGGGATGGCATGTAACCCCTTACACCCCCATAGATATACCAATAAATTTTGCCCGCAAGCAGAAAAAATAATGGATTTCACCTGCAGAGCAAACAACAATGTATCCTTGTCAGAATACGAGGAAAAAGATCAACAAAAATATTAACAATGATGAAAATAGAAAGCTTTGAAATTTGAAAGAATTAACTTGGGAACATTTTGTGCTTAATATTATTCCATTCTTGTTGGCTGTCTAATGTAATGATCTTAAGTGGCACTTGCCCCGAGAAATGTTAGTCTGAGTTACATCAAAGAAACGTGGAATGCCAATTAATAGGAGGCACGACCTCCCCTTTAATGCATCAACGAGTGTATCTAGTCAAACATAATAATTTAATCTTTTGGAGAGTGGAACTTTTGAACCTGGTCTTTTCTTTTGAATTACCAATGTTAGCGAGAAAATTGAATAACGAGAGATGAGGATAATTTCGCATTCTGGCCATCCACCCAATAAGCGTTACAAGCCAATGGTAAAATCAACTGCCACCTTGCCTATGAATCACATTTTTGTTCTAGAGGTTGAACAAACTTTATTTTGTCTACAGAACACAGGGGCAGATTTAGGCAGAAAGTAAAAAACCAGAGCCTTGCAGGCGTCAACGTTCCTATGCATGATACATGACTTAAAAATTATATAGGCCATATATAAATATATATATATACACGTGTATATATATACGTACATATATACACGTATATATACACGTATACGTGTATATATATATATGTATATACGCGCGCGTGTGCATATATACGCATGTATATTATACGTATATATATATATATATACGTATATATATTATGTATATATACGTGTAAACATATGTATACGTGTATATA